TCTATGATAACATATGAACAGTGTTAATGTCAAATAAACAACATTTTTGTTAAACTTTGCCTTTTTTTTTTGGTAATATTTATTATACCGTTGTATTAATGCGACATTTGGAATCTGTTCTGAGAAATTCAAATGTTTTATTAGCTGACTAACCGACAACGGAGTGGGTATTCAGTGATGAAATTTTTTGTACAGCTAACTTCTTCCTTCTGAAATCTATGTACTTTGTTATTCAAACAGACACAGACACAGACACACAGTTAGAAAAAAAAAAAAACGCCCTGCACTCATAGGGAACATTAAAATACTGATATATTTATTATTTACATAGACACTGTTTTGTAATCATATGGTGTTGTGTATGTGCTGCCACTACTTCTCTAAATTTTACCTTTTTTTAACTCAAAAAGAAAAATTTTTTAAACTTTTTTTCAAGAAAAATTCACTTTCTTTTGTTGTTGTTTTTTTTGTTGCCAAATCTTACAATAGTGTAGTCAGCAAAACTTTTTTTCTTACTGTTGTTGTTGTTGTCATTTCCAAATTTTTACTGATTAGTCGTCACTGTGGTTTTTGTTGTCGCTGTTGTTACAATATTTCAATAAATTAAAACTGATTCTAGAAATTTGATGATGGCTTCATATTTGATGAATGATTAACTGTTGCCACTTGTCAACATTTTCAGCCACTGTCTATGGTGTAACTTTTGTCTTATGTTAAGTTTTTTATTCTCTGTTACTACCCGTTAAGAGTTCCGTTGCCTACCGCTTCCTGCTGCTTCCTATGGAAAATTGTTCATTGATGAGATTATTCGACAACAGAAAAAAATTGCTCTCTGAATGCTCTAAAAATAAAGAACTAGAAGTCTTGTAACAGTTAGTCAGAAGTTATATACCTGTGTTTACGGTGTATAGTGAACAACTTACTTAACACCTTGAAACGTTACACTATTCTCTTCTTGGTTTTGATCTTTCTGCTTTTTTTTTCTTCCTTACCTTTCCAGCGTGTCAGCACTTTAAACATTTGTAGACATTTCTTAACTGAATGTTATAAATCGTTCATCACACCTGTCAAAGCAATATTTGCTTTGGTTATTTTATAAGATGTTTATTTGACATTGTTTTTGCACTAGGTTAGGCAGATGGTTTACTGCAAAAATTTGTTCCAAGTAGTTCACAGAGTTATGCTGAATTGTTGTTGAAAAAAACTGCTGCATAGTTAGTTGCTTGGTGAAATTGTCTGTTTGATTAGTATAAGATTAACATGTTGAACAATACTGGCTTTTCTTTTGTCGAGCATTTTTTCAAAATATTTTAGAATTTTTTTTTTTTGGCTAATTCTTAAAGATTACAGAAGCTCATATTTCTTTGCTTATAGTTTGCTTTTGTTTAGAACTTTGTTTTCATGCATTTATAAAGTTGCATAGTAAAAAAGTAGCCAAAAGAAGAAAAGATGTTACAGTTGTCTGTAAAGTTACTCTAATTTTCATAAAACAATTTGTACATTTGCATGAGAACATTTTTTACTCTTGTTCCTCTTTTTTTTAAACGTTTTTTTTTCTCTTTCAGATTTATTGTACAATAAAGTGCTTCAAAATTCCTTTTTTTTTCTTCTGCAGCTTTTAATGGTTTTAAGGAGAATAATAAAAATTAAAACAGATTAGCAATAATTGTTGATTGTTTAGATGCGGTAAGATGAGATGATTTGGGCACGTTTTGACCAGGAAACAAACACTTTATTTAGCCAATACTTAGAGAAACACTTAAAATTTTGTTGATTAGTTCAAGTAGATTTGATCATCATATTATCCAACAATAACAGAATATTATATTTTTTTTCGTCTAATTTTTTTTTTTGTCACTTTTGTTGGCACTCTGAAATAACAAAATTTTTTTGGTCAATAGTATCAACAAAAAAAAAAAAAGAAGAAGAAATTGACTGCTACTGATTTGGGCTGTTTGGTAATTGTGCATTGT